GCATCATTCTGTTGCATATATATGTAATGTATACAGAATATATATATATATGTATGAAGCGAACAGACATGTGTGTACGGTTGTCCTTCGATTTCTAGCAAGCGCATCCAGCGGAGTGAAATCCTTAATAAGGATATCTTTCGTTATAATTCCTTCTTGTTAAAAAAGAAGCGTCAATTCAATCTCATTTTCATTTCTTTCTCAAATTTTTAAGCGTCAAGACTCGTTTACGTTTCTTCCAATACGCACACACACTCATACACACATACACGTACGCACGCACGCAGGCACGCACGCACACACGCACACATGTATTAATGTATATAGAAGCGAGAAAGCGGACGTATAAGCGAATAGAAGACGAACGTTTTCGTTTTTTTTTTTCTTTTTCAATTTTTTGCCACGGCACAACTTGACGCGCGTTTTGCAATAGCGCCGAAAAGCGACATTTCCCTTCAAAGAGAGAGAGAGAGAGAAAGGGAGAGAGAGGTGTGTGCAGCAAAAATAAAACGTTAGGCGGCAAGAGGTAAAATGTGTGTAGCAGGCTTAATTGGAGAATTCCAGACCCCACGTAGCCCCCGCAAAAGTTTGATATTGTGGGCGTGGAGAGAGAGTGAGAGAGAGAGAGAGAGAGAGAGAGAGCAAAAAGAAACGTCCGTCGCGCGCGTTCATTAAAAATCGAGGTGGCTTCGAAGGGGTTTTCTTTCTTTTTTCTTTTCCCCTCTTTACACAGGTGAGAAAGCGTTTTGGTCCCGTTGGCATGCGAACCCGCGGCGGGGCTTGGTGTGTATGTGTGATAAATTAAACAAAAAAAAAACGAAATCATACATAGATTGAAGTTTTTGCGTGCGTGTGCGGCGAGCTAGCTAGTGCGTAAAGATTTCGTGTCTCTCTACGTCTTACCAGAGAACGTTCGTTCGTTAACGAGCAACGAAATCGGCCGCTGCCATCTTGCTATCTCGTAACACACTCGTGCAGCGCTTTATTATTATTGGTAACACATTAGAAATCACATTTCACGGTGGCAATATGTAGGCATTGTGTTTTCTTTTCTTTTCTCGAATTATTCACGGCAGTACGTATACATATACATACATACGTACTATATGTATATATATGCCACACGTATTGTGTGTACCACGTGGTTCTATTACGTATCGGTATTCTTTCTTTTCCTTTTTCTTTCCAAGTATCTATTCACAGGAGATGAGTAGTGTGTAATACACCGACTTGGGAGGGGAGTGAGTTTCGTTTTTCCTCTTTTCTTTAGAGTTTACGTTTTTAGAGGGGGATCGGGATTGCGGCGAGAAAGGGCGAAGGAGGATCGTAGTACCGTTACGGCCATCGTATCATCGGCGAAAGATAATGCATATCATTTGCATATCGAAGGAGAGACAACAATCTAACTGTGGTTTGAACAACAGAGAAAAGACGGGTGGGCTGTTCGTGTCTTTAAGGAGGAGAAACGAGAACGGAGAATTGCGTTTCCTTCGTTTCTTCAGCCCTCGTGCTAGAATTCATCCTTTTTCCTTTCTTTCTGACAAAGTAACGAAAGGATTGATAGAAGTGACACTTGGACAAAGAAGTTCGGGAGACGCAATACAAGGTGGGCGGAGTTGTAGGGTGCTAAATATCAATAACAACGACTACGACACAACAGCGACAACGGTATTTGGCACGACTCAAAGCACCACCACCATCTTCTTCTTCGTCATCGGTGCCGCCCGCTCGAGAGGCGACTTTCGTATAACGGGACAGGATTGAACTGAAGTCTCGAGTAAAAAGGGGACGAGAGATTGCACGAAAGATGGATTAATACAGAGAAACTCGGGGTAAGAAAATAAGCAAGTGATCTTCGTGATTTGACACAGTTGGGTTTAACAGCATCTCCCGCAATTCTTTACTTAAGAACACAAAAAGCACAAAAAACTCTTTGAAACAATACACTAAATCCGTAGCTTTGCAAGTTCGCGAAAATCAGATTTACCCAAAACAAAAAACAAAAAGAAAATCGGTTTAATTCGCTGCATCAAATTCCACGAGTCACTCAACGAATCAAACGAATGACGAGAGAAGAAAGAAGGGGGGACAGGGCGTTCCGAATGAGAAACCATTCGAACGAGTCGAAGAAGAAGAAGAAGAAGTAGAAGAAGTAGAAGTATAGAAGAAAGGGGAGTTAATTAACGGACACACAGGTGGTGTACATAGTGTGTGTGTGAGAGAGAAATAGAGACAGAGAGAGAAAGAGAGAGAGAGAGAGAGAGACAGAGATAGATAGATAGAGATAGATAGAGAGAGATAGAGAGATGCGGACAGAGAGAATAGAAGACAGAAAACGAAAGATTTAGAAAGAGATCGTTGATCGTCTACCGAGGCCGTCGGACGATCCCTCAGCAACGTCGCTAAGGGTACGTCGATGCTTGTTCCCGCCTTTGGTCGCCTGCAGGTGACACGATATAAGCAAGATGGCGGCGGCACGTGCCGCACCTGCTCTCGACGCTGGTACCAGGGGACCACGGCTACCACCGCTGCTTGGCCTCCTGGTGAACGCGTAGGTAAGCGGACCTCCTGTGCTGCTTCTTTGGCTGGAACGCGAAGATGGCCGGCCACCGTGGAGCGTCAGTGGGATACCTGTTGGATTCCTTTTATTACTAACTCCGTTTCATTCAGAAGACAACATTTTACAAAGGAATTTCACCCCTTCTGTTGTGCTAGTTTCGAAAGAACCAAGGCTAGGTTTGTTTCTTTTATCTCTTTTTTTCCAAAAAAAAAGAAAAAGAAAGAATTAGTCTCCAGGTCGCCCATACTTCGTCATAGGTCTCTCCTCGACAGTTCTAAGGGATCTAAACTCTAACTATGAAGGACAAAGCACAGAGGTTTTTGCATACTTCACAGGTGTTCTCGATATTTCTAAAAGGGGTTCTAAGAGACTAATTCAAAGGATAACACTTCGCCGGGAATTTCAGCACCTTCTGCTCTGTGAAAGAACAAGGCTGGGGCTTCTTTTTATCAGGGGTGCAAACGCAGTTTGCATACTTGAGAGCTCTCCTCGATTAGTCTAAAGGATCTAAACTGTAACTATGAAGGATAAGCACAGAGAGAGGTTTTTCTTCACGTTCTAGGGGATCTAACTTCGAACTCTCAAGAGGGGCACATTTTTACAAGGAATTTCTTTTTTCAGCCCTTCTATCTTTCAAGGCCAGGTTTGCTTTTTTTTTTGTATGAAGGATTAATTCAGGTTGCATACTTCTCACAGGTTTCCTCGACACTCTAAGGGAACTAACGCTAACTATGAAGGGATAAAAGTCCAGGTTGCATACTTCATAGGTCTCCTCGATATTCTAAGGGATCTATGTTCTAACTGAATATCGGTCCAGGTTCCAGAATTCAGCATTTTCCCACAGGCTACACGTGTCCAAGCGGTATAAACGACGTCGTATCGCAACGGCGTTGACGTTCGATGACGCAGGAAATGAAAATACCGCATAAGAGGGCTTCACCCGTGTTGGACAGCGCACAGGTCTAAGCGATCGTTAGAGTTCCGCCCGCGTTCTAGGATTCCCCTCAAGGCCCCGGCCGGGCGAAATAGGGTGAAACGAAAATAGACGGAGGAGTTCTTCATCGATACACTTAGCGTGTATTGATTTTGCAACGGAGAAGGCTGAGCTTCTTAAAACCACAGGAATTACAGCACCCGCGAGTATAAACTTTTCATTTTTTCTCTCTCCCGCCGTGGTTAAGGGTGGCGGTGGTAACCGTATTGCAAACCGATCACAGATTTCGTAGAATGTACACACGGTTTTCTCTCCGGGTATCGTCGTAGTCGTTTACAAACGATTATTGATTATGGATCCTTGAGAGAGAGAGAGAGTCCGATAAGCAGTACTCACCCGTGTCGCTGGAGAACAGCATAGGCGGCGCGTGATTCGCGTTGGCATAGTGCCGCGGCCTTGAGTATCTCGCACGACTGAATAACTTGAGCACGAAGCATATCATCGCCGTGAATACCGCTATTCCCGATGCTATGCAGAGCAGGGTAGGAATATCCGTCGTTATCAGCACCAGATCTAACAACAGATTTCATTGCCACATTTCAGTACTCGAACGGCGGTGCGTTTTGCGATAATTACTTGTTAGCGGGGCATGCAGTGGGTAAGGAGTACTGTTGGGTAAAGCTAGAAAAATCTGGGATCTCTGTACAGGGTGTTTCTGGAAACTTGGAGTCAAGAATTAAATTTGTTCGTATAGGGCTGTGTTCAATAGAGAAAATTGGATTTAAAGATTCGTTCACTGTTTTTGTAAATTTGTCATAGTAAAAGAGAGGGTGAATCTTTTCTGTAGTTGAGACGAAGCATTGTACAGGCTTCTGGACAATTGTAGCTCCGATTCAAAGAGCAAGGATGTCACTTTGGACAATTCGTTCGGTAATGTAAATGTAAATTAATGAAACCGTTAATCTCTTAATTTACAACAATGTGTCAGAGTCGTTGCAGAGATTCTGGTCAGGATGTGACAAAAATGAACTGTAATCTTAAGTTTCGTTTGAGTTTGTAAGACTGAGGATTGCTAAATCTAATTAATCTATAATATAACAGATAAGCTTTTGTTACTTAACACAGTACTAAAACATTAAATGGCTGACGCTTAGATGCATAGTAAAAAAAGAAATCATATCTCAAGGGGTTAATAAAGCGTAGAGATAGCGAACGATTAGTCAATCTCGATTTTCTTGAAAACTGAGACCTATACGAACAAATTTACCCTTATCTTTGCATCTCTGAATCACCTTGTACACACAATCTGTCACGCAAGTGCGATATATCGTTCAAACGACGAAGAAACTTCTCGAGAGCTCGTGCCAATTCATTTCCAATCTGTCTTTTCTTCGTCTCGACACCAGCTCTCGTGTGACTGATTGCAATTGAAAGGATCACAGAGGCTCTAAATATAATCGAGCATCCCGTCAGGGTGTTTGAATTCATTTGACAAGAAGTTGGCACGGTGTACCTTCGGCGCAGAACACCTTCTTGCTAGGCCTGGACAAGGCGACCCTGTGGTACCCTTCCTCGCAGTCGCACACGGCGTTGTGCTGCACCTGAGTGCAGGTCGAGTGCTGATCCGCAAAAGTGCAAGTCGCGCGATAGAAACATTGCTCCCCGAGTCTTTTAGCTGGAACAACCGGTTGCCTGGTTCAATTCTCGCCAGTTTCGACCTTGGTATACTTGTAAGTCTTTCGATACTTGACAGATAACGCGGTACTCTGAACTCAAATTTCTTGTTTCGATACTGTCGTATGCGAGAAACTTCTTCCTATTTTATTACTTTTTTCTAAATAATTTTACCGAAAGATTAGCAAAGTCGAGGTAGCAAATATTCACAAGGTGTGTTTTTCTTTTAAAGCAGACTCTGTATTGTTAGCTTAGAGACAAGGTGTCAAAGTATTAAAGGGTTACGAAGGAAGAATGAGATTTCTGCTATTTTTTCCAAACAATTTTACCAGAAATTTAGCAAAAATTCACAAGGTGTATTTTCCTTTTAAATCAGCCTCTCTATCATTACCTCAGAGTCAAGGTGTCAAACTGTAAAAGGGTTAGGAAGCAAAAAAAAAAATGAAAAGAAAAGGAGACAAATCGATTAGCTTTTCATTAGACTGAAAGTAACAAGTGTCAGACCGGAGTTTGTCGTGTCTCGAAACGCATAAAACAAGGGAGAACAATCGTCCGTCGATATTTATTCTCGTTCGATGAACATATACATACACACATACACATCAGCTGTCCAACGTTATCGCGTTGAATTCTCTCTTCCCGCTATAGGAAAACGAGAGGGACGACCTAGTTGATACGAGAGAAAGGGAGAATGTATCCGTTTACGTACGTTTGGCACATCCTTTGCTAGGCCCAAGACGAACTGGATAGAACTTCTCGCATTCGCAGAAACCAGTGACGGTGTCGCAGAACACGTGCTGCAGTTCCGGATTGCACGAGACATCGCACGGCGAGCCCAGGTACTGCCCCTTTGCTGAAAACAGACGGGGAATCGATAGCCAGCTAGATTATCCACCATGTTCAAACCCTCCGCGATACCAGATGAAATATGTAGGCTGTGTTCCCTTAAATAGCGTCGACTATTGTTTCATAGGCCCCTCCCCCCCCAATCGAGGCCACCTTTCGCGTTTCGTGCCTACTCCTCCAACTAGGGCTGCGGTGAACATCGATAATTAACTTTCACTACTTGCAATTTAGCTTGAATTCGAAATAACTTCCCCTATGGTATAGGGGATGAATTATTTGCCGGGTGGATTTGTCAGACGTGGAATATTCTGAATTCGCGGCATTGTAGCGTTGAACGGTGGCTCGTACTCGCGAAAAGATGAATTGCACCGCGTTAGGACGTTGCACATGAAATGGCGGATTCGTAGGGGAAAGTTTCAAGCCTCGATAACTTGGCCGAAGCTAAATTTTGCTAATCGAAGGGAGCTTCGGTAGATTTAACACATATTTCGGTACACAATTATTATGAAAATCTGAAATTTTGCAATAATCTTCTCAAACGTATTTTTAATCATTGAATGTTTTTTTTTTTTGGTAAAAAATGGGTTAACTAAATTTTATTAGTCGACGTAAGCTGCAGCAAATTTAACACATTTATCATGAAAATCTGAATTCCGAATTCTGTTTTTTGGGAAAAAGTGATGTGAATGGTTAAATTAACGTTGTTTAGTGAGTTTTGTAGCTGTTGCTACCTCAAAAGCGAATTTGATTAGAATTCATTTTCTACGTTGAACATAACCTCAAACTAACTTTTCCAAGAATAAGCAGTGGAGTGGGTTCTACCTTTTCGTATGACAATCGACGTGATTCTAGATCACGAAGCACATTTGTCAATACACCGTATTCATAAAAATCTGAATTTTTGCGATAAATTTCTCAAATATATATTTAGTTGTTTTTTTTTTTTTTTTGTGAAAAAGTGAGGTAGCTGTTTAAAGCAACGTTGTTTCATGAGTTTTGTAGCTGTTCCTATCCCACAAAGCGAATTTGATTACAATTCATTCTCTACGTCGAACATAACCTCGAACTAACTTTTCCAAGAATAAGTCTGGCATTTAAATCAGTAGAGTGTGTAGGTTCTACCTTTTCGTGTGACAACCGACATGATTCCAGTTCACGAAAACAAGTCTGAATCTTCCAGCATACCAATTCTTAACTTGCTCCGTTTAGAGTAGAATTTCAACTGAAAAAGGACCTCTCCGAAGACAGTAACGCATCGAACTACGGTTCAACGAGACGACAGGACATTTTTTAAGAAGGGAATCCTCTTGCGAAGGATGTCCTCTCAGTTGTACCCATTTATCGTCCCACCCTCTCTATCCCCGTTACACAGATACTCTCTTTTCAACTATTATTCCCCGCCTCGATACGCGTCTTTGTCCTCCCTTTGACGTGCAAGCCACCGGCCCGTTGTCACCGGCGTCTGTTTGTCGAGCCATGAACGCGCATACATTCTGAACGATTAATGAAGCAAAGAAGCATTGTTACGCTACTCTATCCAGGCCACTTTCTCGCATCAAAAGCTGTTTGATATCTGGTGCTCCTTTGTAGACGACGCCGAGACTGCGCTGTCTACGCCTCCTCGATTCTCCATTGATACATCGTTCAACACACTTTAAACTCCTCCTTATCCATGGACGACGGTGTAAAAAACTTGTGCGAGAGAATTTTATTCTACCCCCTCTCTCGGTAACCTGACCAAAGGGGAGGTGTTTTTCCTACCCTTGTTCCCGTTCAATTAGTACACCAGGTGAACCTTTTTCCCCGAGGATAATTACGCCATTTGGTTCGAGTTACCAGGCGCCGGGCATCACGCCAGACCGCCTATCGATTTCTCCTTAATTATCGCGTTATATCGTTATTAAATGTTTCTACCCACTGTTTAAAGTACCATCGTAACCACCCTTGGCAAACGTTCAGGAAGAACGTACACGTAGGAATATAAAACGAACCTAACTATCCCGAAACAACCGTTTCATACAGAGAGGAGGAGGAGAAGAAAAAGAGCAGGGTTTCGCACACATCGCGGTGAATTGTGTGGCGACTCCGCGCAACCGATCGATCGATCTTTTCGAAATGCGGATGAATGGGGGAGAGAGAGAGAGAGAGAGAGGGTGGATTTCGTTGGAGCACGGCTGCGTCGCGTAAATAATAAAGCACGCAGAATTACGCTTTTTGACCTGGTTCAGGAAGTTCACGTGAGGGAGAAAAAAGGAAGGGGGGTGGATCGTTAGGCTGATGATGATTCGCCGGTGTTTTTCACCGCTTGCTCGAGCTCCAGCTCGAGGAGTGTGCTCACCGAGCCTCCTTCCAGTGAATGGAGAGGAAAGGCAAGGAGACAGGGGTGAATGACGCACGATATTTCTCTCTTCTCTAACCTTTTTTTCCACCACGCGTTCCCTCGTTTCTCTTTCTCGAGTTGCTGGAGAAGGTAGGAGAGAAGAGAGGGCGAGGAGGAAGACAGAGAGAGAGAGAGAGAGAGATCTCTTTGAAATCTCATGCAGCTGCAGGCGGTGTGCAAACTCCCACATGCGGACACCGAGAGAGCTTGCAGCATCCATTAAAATCAATACCGGCGGCGTGGTTGGCGCGAAAATCAAGAAGGATTCTCTTTCCGTGCACCTAGGCGCACGCGCAATTCGCGAATTCTTACGCTGAGATATCTAGTTTTTCGGTTTTTATTCTTCGTACTTGAACCGATGATCGAGTGGATCGGTGGTGAAATTGTACGGAGAGATTAGGAATGGGAAATTGTAAGAATTGCAAAAGTATGCTTCTCATGTTGATAGAGGTTACACGGAGGTACCGTTGGACCGTAAATAGTCCAACCACCGAGAGAGAGAGAGAGGAAAAAAATAGAGAAAAAGATCCTGGCTGAACTTTCCGCTGTTTCGTAACATTTCGGCTGAGCCTCCTCTCCACGGATTTAATGAGGCTGAGACGAGGGCTACTTATCGTCTGACGAAGGGAAAACGTCTAGATGACGATAACAACGACAGTAACAAGTGTTTGCTCTCCGACTGAAGATTCTGGAGCGGAGTGTTTGCACGCTCGTATCGAGCAGGCGCGAGCAAGGCGAGGCGAGAATCTCGAGGCACGCACGTTCCTTCGATCCGTCCTTCTTTCGCTAGAAAACGACATAACGAATCCCATCCTGAACCGTATAGATCGATTCGCCAGCATAAATTACCCCCTCGAACGTAGAACGAATCAATCGGATACGACATACACGGAACAGACCGTATTTCCAACATCTTCAGACCGTCGTAGACTACTCCTAAAAAATCAACCAATTAAGAATCGCCACGAGTTAATTCTCCCTAAAAAATCCTTCACACTTAGTGCTCTCTTCGCTCGTTCTATTCAATACCACCGGAACATCTCTACGCCTACTCTTGCTCCACTTCTTCCATCTCCTCTGCCTACGTGCACTCTGCCTATATTCCACCCTCTTCCACATCCCCAAAACAGCTTCGCCACTCGCCGCCCTCTGTCATCGTTACCACCTGACGCTCTCGAAAAACTGCTCTCTCCAAACGTCGTCATCGTCGTCGTCGTCACTACGAAAATCCTCGTTCAGGTGGGGGAGAGAGAGAGAGTCCGTCCCTAACATCAGACGCACCAACCCCCGCACAATTCTACCCCGAAACTCGCCCTACCTCTCCCCTCGACATTTCCGCGTGAAAGCGTACTTTTCCCGTGTGATCGTCGTTGGTATCCTCGATGCACCAGAAACCAGGTGTGTGCGTGTTTCTTTCTTTCTCTCTTCCATCGAAATTGCTCACTCACCCGCAGTGATGTTCTCCTCGAGGTAGTCCTGGTCGTCGTCATAGTCGTCGTCGTTGTCGGAGCTGGATCCTCGTAGGTCATCACCTGCCAGTAGACCTCTGGGGATCAGGGGATCCGGTCGCGTGCCGCAGCTGCACCCGGTCGCCAGGAAGACGAGGCAGATGAGCAGGAGCCAGGAACGGCAGCAGGTCAGTCTCAGGGCGGAGGGAAGTGCGCTCATCGCCCCCGCGGCGCGAGTCAACCCCCGAAACCGACCACCGGCGGCGCATCGACATCCTTCCCCGTCGCCTGCCTC